GCTATCGCCAACTAACTTATAGTATACCTAGACTAAAACTCTCCCAGTAACAACAGAGTTGTATATAACGTTAGCTTTATCATCAAGAATTCCATCTACATCTTTACCCAATTTTGCTTCTTTTATACATTCGTATAGAGCTAAAATAGCAACTGCTGCGCATGCTACTGTTGTACTTACCTCTGCTATAGTAGGAACGTATTTCGGACATAAAAAGAGGCACTGCTCCAACAGCAATGGTTACTACTTGTCTCTGTTTTATAGGATGTGAGGTGCATCACCACTTGCTTGATCTTATGCTGCTGTGTTGTTTACTTTAAAAATACCTGAATCACTATAAACAATTTTTATCGCAAGAAATCCAAGTACTATAACAGACACATCTAACCATTTTGCTATTGGCACAATTAATGGTAGTGCTAGTATGTAGACCGCCAAACCCATTGCTGCTGTTGATAACTTATAGTTTATGTTGTTAGGTTGTACACTCACGCTATTCCTCAGGTGTTATATTTTAAAACACAAGAAAAAGTTTTTCTTAGAAGATTCATAAATTAAATTATCCGGAAATGCAATAGTTTCGAATAAAATTTTTTTTAAAATTGTGGAAGATTTTTAGGAACTCAGATGCACTTGACGAAAAATTGAGTTTTTTATTAATTTATAAAAATTTTTATATCTACCTGGTGAGATAATCACCCCATAACACCAGCAACTATAATACATGCCATCTTTGTTTTGCTCTGCACTCGCTAGTGCGTCTGTTACATTTGCAAATTGTTCATCAGTTTCCTCTGACTGTTCTGATAGGTTTGTAACCTCTCCTGTCACGCCTGCGAATTTCTCAGATAATTGAGTCTGACCTGCAAAATCTGCTATTTGCTCTTATGCTTTTGCTGTTGTGTCTGATATACCTACAACTTGTGTTAGCGCATGTTTTGACAGGTATGTAAACCAATGTCCGTTTTGTAAAACCTGTTGCTACATTTCTTGATAGACTTTCAACTTTACTTGCGTTCCGTATTATCCCCGCTGTGCTTGATCAACACCGAATAATCAACTAAAAGTCACCCTATTTACTCGCTATTAAAGTTAAAATTCATAATTCTATTGTAATTTTTAAATAGTTAATTTAGTATTAATTCAATCGAATCTTGAATAAGCGAATTTAATTCGCCTTTTGAAGGCAACAATTTTA